ACCGCCCTTGTCGAGTGCCAGGGGGCTTCTTCCAGCCTCACTTGCCTCTTTAGAACTCTTCCTTTTTTGCTGACTGGGCAAGAGTTGAGCCCACCTAGCCTTCGTTAAGGTGAGAGGAAGTTTCTTCCCTAAATCCAGGTGTGCTCACGTTTGCCAGGTCCTGGCATTCTCCTTCCCACACACCTCTATGAATGGCAGACCATGCCTCCCCAGCTGCCTGTTCTAGGAAGGGCAAAGGGAACAGTTGGGCTTGGGTTGAGATCGGGAGAGTAGATGCTGCTCAGTGATGGGTGGCTCCTCCCTGTCAGAACTGCCTAGGTGGTAGTGAGTTCCCCAGCTCTGGGGAGAGGCAAGCAGGAATGGAACAGGGTGGGGTGGGCTCGATTCTGGTTAGCCTCTCCCAGGCTTGGGGGCCTCCCCACTGAACCATCAAGAGGGAGGGGGCAATGCCAAGCCTAGGGTGGCTTATGATTACCTCAGGAGGGCTGGAGGGCAGATTGGAAGGCCCTTCAGTTATAGGAAGAGGCAGGAAGAAGGGAACTTTGCCCAGGGCAGCGACAACTGCGGATAGTGGTCAGAATGCCCAAGTGGCCAGGTAGGAGGGCTTTGAAAGGGTTGGACCTCCTGGTCCCCACGACAGTCTGCAGGTCTTAACCCTCCCCTGTCCTATCCCAATGCAAACCGGGATTTCCTTCCAGTGTCCCCATGGTAACCACCTGTTTCCATGGGCACCCCACACTTCCCCATCAGCTCCCCAGTTGCCATAACAACTCTAGGGATTACCAGCCCCTTCCCCAGTCATGGACTGTGTGCTCATCTCCCCATCGCATCACCTTGGTCCCACCCCTTTCAGTTGCCTTGGTAACGAAGACAAAGAGGCAGAAACCTCTAAGTTGCCCTTCCGAGGGGGCAAGCACCCACAGGCCCTCCCACTTTCCTCATCCCCATCCAAGAGGGTAAATTGAGGCCCAGAAAGGACAGTGATCCAGCTAAAGCCCTCGAGAGGGACAGAGGCCTGGCCAAGGTTGACATGAGACAGTAGGGTTCAGTGGTCCTGGGGGAGAGACTGGGGGGTGCGGTCAGCAGAGGTGTGGTCAGCAGCAGCTCTAACCTGACCTGCTTGACGCACTCGGAGTTCCTGAGGGCCGCTTTACAGAGGGGGTGACTTTGGCATGAGTGCCCCTTCTCCCCAGTACCCCTTTTCACTAGGGGGAGAGGGTAACCTGAAAAGAGGTAACTCATTTACATACTATTTGCATAGCATTTACATGCTCCCAACTGACCATCTGTCTGGTAAGTCTTTAGCCCTCTGTTCCTGCTCCACCCTCCCTGAGGAAGCCCTGGCGGGTTGAGGGTCCTCTGGCTGTGTCCCCACCCATGGGCCAGGCCTCCTTGGCTTAGGGACCTCTCCCCCACCCCCAGCTCCGGACAGTTTGCTTCTGGGACGTCCCATGGTCCTTGTTGTTTCCGCCTTTTCAGACATCAGGGTTCTATCCAGGAGCAGCCTCCTCTGATCTCCACAGTCCTGTCATCCAGCAACGCCCAAGGGTCCCCTACTAGATGTGAGGGACTGGAAGATTCAAATGGGGGCATGCCGGGAGTGGAGTGGGAGCCCAGCTTGATCTGGGGGAGTGAGGAAAGGAAGTCCTCCTTCAGCCAGCCCAGAGAGGTGGCGCCCAGCAGAGAAAACTGCATGTGCTGACCAGGGTAGAGACCTGCCAGAAGCTACCTGCCCAGAGGACGGCGCCTTTTCGTGGAGGCTCAGCCCAGAGTTTGGCCCAACTGACCTTAGTACACTCCTGCCTCGGTTTCCCACTCGGGCCTTGAGGAGGTTCAACAGAGTGAGGCCCAGGGGCACCCCAGCCCTTCCCTCTCCAGCCCTTAGCAGCCACCCTCCCCAACCCCGCCAGATCCCTCCTTGCCTTACCTGTGTTCCCACCTACCCCCAGCAAAACCTGGCTAGGGGGAGGACAGGGGAAGGGGGTAGGCGGCTCTGAACCTGGGGTCCAGGAAGGGAGAGGAAGGGAAGTAAGGGGGGGAACTCGCTGGGGTCCCCGCCCTCCCAGGCCCACAACTAGGGAAACAGGTTTGCCAGCTGATGTCAGCTTCCAGGGCTGAAGGGAGGGGCGCAGGTATTGGGGAGCCTTCTGGCTGCCCGGCGTACTCAGCTCTCTAAACACTCATCAGTTCCACCCCTTTACCTTGCATTCCCAAGCCTCCCTCCTGTGGGTCCCTATCTGGGCTCAAGGTTGCACAGAGCCACGCCTCCCAAGAAACCAAGCACAGAGGGGTGGGGACCAGGTTCCCATGTTCAGGGAGCAGGAAGGCAGTGCGGGGAGGCTGGCCGGCTTCCTCTCCCTAGGCAGCCTGGCCCCACCCGGCTCCTGGGTTTGCAGCATCCTGGATTTGTTGACCCAGACCCAGGCTGCCCCCTGCCTGCCCAGGCCTCCAAGGCCACACTGGCCAGCCTGTGCCCCAAACATGCCCTGTGAGATGAGGGGCTGAGAGAGAAGTGAGGAGGTGGGGGGCAGCACAGCTATCTGCTGACCAGGTACATTGTTTAGCTAGGAGAGGCAGTAAGAAGAAAAGATGTTGGAGGTATAATCCCAGGGGTCTGGGCCAAGACACCTCTCTCCCCTCCCCTCCCTCCCGCCAGCAGCCTGGCATCCATTCGCATCCATTGGACACCCCATTCACATCCATTCCTCAGACTCATCAACCTCCCTTCACCTGGTCACAGGTGAAGAAATGAGACCCGAGCACCTGTCCGTGGCTACAGGGGCAGTTA